CCGCAGGCCTATGGCACTCCCATAATAAAGCTCCAGCAGTTGGGTATTTTATTTAAATCAGAAAGCACTGAAAGTAGATACCAGGAATGGCAGTTCCTCGGGGATAGGGCTGATGCTATGTGTTTTCAGTGACACTACACTGAATTTAGAATAATTCTGTGTACATAGAAAGTACTCCACAAACATCCTGAGCAGTACCTGTTTTAGGTCCCTAGCCTCTTTTGCAGCTAAGTGAGGCCATATGATTGGAATATGGCCACAGTGTAAAAATTATAAGGTGGGACTTTTAGGGAAATTACTTATTGAAGAAGGATGGACAGCTGATGTATGTCCTTTTGCCTTTCCTCCTTCCTCCTTTCTGTGCCAGAGGGCAAATGCTTGTTATTGCCCTAAGAGCTGTCTTGGACCATAAGGCAATGCACTACGAACATACTAAGTACTATGACCTAGCACAGAACGAGTGCGGGTCTCTGATAAGTATCGAGTCTCCAGGCCCACCCTGGGCTGCCTATTTTGGGGCTTTACAAAAGAGAAACACAAAGACATTAATTTTGGAGGATGCTTTCTGTTACACACAGTTGAACCTAATTGTAACTGATAATCATATAAGGGCAATAGTGCCTGTGGTCAAGTGATTCTAGGCTAGCCTATATCAAGACAATATGGCAGCAGCAGAATGGAGAGGCTCTTCAAGGTAGACTCCAACAACTCAGACCACCTCCTCGGCTTACTCAGCATCTAGACTGGGGCCTGAGGGTAACAATGAGAAGGCAGAAGGAAGCTCCCAGCACATATTCCAGACTGAGATCCAGATACAGCCTTGAATGGATTTGAGTTGTGACTCTATGCCCCACTATCTTGACTCAATATCTAGAGACCATGATGACGGAGAGCACCATCTAGAGAAGCTAAATCAATGAAGATCAAGATTAGCCAAGGCTATCTGATGATATTAAGAAATTCTTTTGATTTTTAAGCGTGATAGTAGTTATATACATATAAACTTTAAAGGTTCTTATCTTTTAGAGACAGACTGAAATATTTATAAATAAAATGAAATGATGTCTGTGATTCTCTTCAAAATACTTTGAGGGAAGAAATAGATGGGGATATAGATGAAACAAGATCACCATAAGTTGATCACTGAGGATGCTAGAAACATGGAGATTCATTATACTATTTTCTCTACTTTTCTCTGTTTGAAATTACTTATTTTTAAAAAAAGAAAGATAAGTGCGGCCCATGGAGAGTCACATTTCACCAAGGAGTGTCTGGTGGAAGGGGGAGTAGGACACAGAGGCAAGCACAGATGAGTAGTGGGTTTCCCTCCTGCTGGGAGCGTGGAGGAACTTCCCCCTCACACCATGCTATTCAGCACTTCAATTCCAGTCTGGCTAGCCTGACTGTAATTTGTAATGAAGGGTATGAGCCAGCCCCACTTCATCTCTTCTTTATTGTTAATTGTGGAAAGGCTCAGTGAGAGCATTGTAAATTCCTCTCCTATCTCCACATTTGCAGTCACAGGAAACAGATCACTTGTGACCACTAATACTGAGGACTATTGTAAACTCTATGCTAAAACAGCTTTGGGGTCCAAAGTTTATGAGATATTTCTTCAGAGGCATAAAGCCTTGGTGCAGAAAATTTGAACAGTAACCTCCTTGACATAAGATAGATGCTTTCATTCTCTGCTGATGGGAGGGTTAGGGGTCTACCTTACTGGCAAGTTGGTAGAGTGCAGAGTGTGAAAAAATACAGCAACAACCTAAATGATCAAAAATAGGGTCATGAGTAAGAGAATAATGGTATGCTCATACGATAGGATATGACACAGCTATTAAAATGATTTGTGTGAAGAATTTATAACAACATGGAAGGTTCATATGCTACCACGTTAAATAAAAACATCAGAACACAAAATTGTCTATTCTATATAATCCCCATGATGTAAAATATACAATAATATAGAAACAAAAGGAAACACCCTCTGTCTTAATAGTGATTAAACCAGGTTGATGGGATTAGGAAAAATTCCTATTCATTTATTTTTCTTTAAGATAAAAGCATACCTGAACATAAGACCTGAACCAGTAGAAAATGGGAGTCTTTATTTTTTAATTTTTTTTTTTTTCGTGTCTGGCAATGGATCGCAACCCTCAGTGTCGCGCCCGTACCGGACCGGGACCAGCAACGGGATCGCAACCCTCAGTGTTGCACCCACACCTCGCTCAGCCAGTGAGTGGGAACCGGTCTGTATGTGGGATCTGAACCCTCAGCGGGAGCGCCGCCGCGCTCCCAAGCGGCGCACTGTAGCAGTGCGCCACCGGGCCGGCCAAAAAATGGGAGTCTTTAAAACAAAAGTTTTCAGCAAGTACTCTGATCTGGGACCACAGATAAAATTCAGGAGAGTGGTAAACTTGGATTGGAAAAACAATTACACCTTTATATTCACTAACCTCTAACTAAATGTTTTTTCTGGATTTTTTTTTTATTGTGGCAAAGTATACACAACATAAAACTTAGCATTTTAACCCTTTTAGGTATACAGTTCAGTAGCATTAAGTACATTTACATGGTTGTACAAACATCACCACTATGTCCAGACTAAAATTCAATATTTTCTTCAATTACGAATGTAGCCTATGAACCACAGTAAATTACCATACCTGTGACTTTGTCAACAATAGAAATCAAAGTTATTTTCACATGATATTACAGTTGTGAGTAGGTATGTTGAAATAATAGTTCATGTTCCTCACAGCTTTGAAATTAGGGAGTTATTAGGACTGCCACCAAATCTTGTCATTTAATGTAAAATTACTAGACTACAAAATTGTTTTTTAAAATTTTGTTAACTGTGTTTCAGTATGAAAGTTGTCCTTGGTGATCCTATGCATCTTACTTATTTGAAAACATTGTTTGAGAAGGAATTCATAGGTTTCAACAGACCGCCAAAGGGTTCACAGGACTAAAAAAAAAAATTAAGAAATTCTCAGTAGATGTGATCCTGACAGATGGACTAACTAGCTACCCTCAACATACAATAATCATTTACCAAGAGGTGTCTTTAGGGTCTCAGAATTCTTTCCAATTGCTCTGTTGGTGATGTAGCCTAGTAGATTACACCACCTCCATCTGCATCTCCCCCAAATCCCCTGCAAATTTAGCCATTAGAATAACCCTACTTGCGTATATCCTTTGAAAAACAATGTTTGATGGACCTCAAAAGACATTCTCTGATAAACAGAAAGCTAATGTTGGAAAGAGAAATGGCAAAGGTACAGATAAGAGATGGCTGATAGGGCAGATGGAGAGCTGGGTTGCCAACTCTCCCCTGCCTCAAAGGCCAATCAACATTATGTTAAGTGAAAGTAAGCCAGACACAGAAAGACAAACACCGCATGATCTCACTCACGTGTAGAATATAAAAAAGTTACACTCACAGAAGCAGAAAGTAGAATGGCGGTTACCAAGGGCTGAGGGGAAGGTGGAGTTGGAGAGATGTTGGTCAAAGTTACATTTCAGTTAGACGGGAGGAATAGGTTCAAGAGATCTATTAGTTAATAACAACATATTGTATACTTGAAAATTGCTAAGAAAGTAGATTTTTAAGTGTTCTAACCATGAAACAAATAAGTATGTGAGGTGATGCATACGTTAATTAGCTTGATTTGGCCATTCCACAATGTATACATATATCAAAACCTCATGCTGTACACCATCAATATGTACAATTCTCATCAATTAAAAAAATATTTTTTTCTTTTTTTTTTTTTGTCTTTTGTCTTTTTTCCGTGTCCGGCAACGGATCGCAACCCTCAGTGTTGCCCCTGTACCGGACCGGGGACCAGCAACGGGATTGCAAACCTCGGCGTTGCTCCCGCGCCTCGCTCAGCCAGTGAGCGGGAACCGGTCTGTATGTGGGATCCGAACCCTCGGGCGGGAGCGCCGCCGCGCTTCCCAAGCGGCGCACTATCCAGTGCGCCACCAGGCCGGCCCCCAAAATATTTTTTTCTAAAAACATCAAATCCATCCACAACGCAGGGCAGTACTCACTGAGGAAAGCCGGGAGTTTTTAAAAAAACCCTAGCAACACCTTTCAAAGACACTTTTTATTAAAAAGTGGAGAAAGTAACCCTTACGTAATGGTATAAAGCTTAGGTCTAGCAACAAAGTAGCATGAAAATATCAGAGTAGAGATTAAAAAGAGGAACAACCCAGCCTCACCTTTCAAAATGGAATCCATTTCCCTAATGTTTTCTTCTTTTATTCAAAATTGGTTTTTGGAATCTGGTATGATACTAGGTGCTATATTTCTTGGGCTATGACCACAATTTAATACCTCTCTGTGCATATAAATTTTTTTCTGGCAAATCCTAAGTTTCCCATATTATTCAAATGAAAACGTTCTCTGATGCTGAAAGACATCTACCTAATTTACAGTCACCTTCTCTGAGAGCTAGTCCCCCTCTGCACTGGCCCCCTACCAGAGGTCTACAGAGCTGGGTCTCAGCAGTCTCTCTATGAATCCAAATCCCTGGCAGTGGCTGATTGGCTAAGAGTGGAGACCTTACCTACTCCATGCCTATCACATTCTCTCTTCTGAGAATTTGGAATTGGGACCCAGAGTTACTCCCTGGTGACCTGAATTGCAGGCATATAAACTTGGGGGCTGTACAGTGGGTGTGTTTGGTGATGTGCATGCTGAGGTGGAGAGCAGGTCAGCCCACGGTAAGAGGTGGGTATGCACAGAGCAGCAGAGACATTCATTGAAGCCCAGCTGCACCTCAAGCCCAGGACCTCTACAACCACATTATAGAAATCCCTTTAGGGCTGGGGCTGGTCAGCATGGGGTCCCAATATCGAAGTTTAGAGTTTGCACCTATGACACTCCACAGGGCAGCTCACTACCATCCTGGCCCCCTCTTCCCAAATCATCCTCAGTGTCCCACCAGTCCCTTGTGAAAAGAAAGCAAGGAGCAGCCACCCAACCAGCATACCTCGGGTCTGCCAATGCTTCTGCGGACGCGAGCTCCGACCCCTTCTGACTGCTCCCGGCTGAGCACCGAGAGAATAACCTTCTTAAAGGACTCCATGTTGAAGTCTAAAAAGACAGTGTTCCAATGCTGAGCTATAGAGAACAGAGGGCGAAAGGAGGGAAAAAAAAAAAAAAAGTCATAAACAGCAAACATCCAAGGACTACGAAATAAAGGATATTAACATTGGATGCCCAAAATAATAACAGCTGCAATTTATTGATTGCTTACCATGTACAGCACCTGGGTTAGGGGATTTAAAGCAACAATAATGACGGTGAACATGTATGAATACTTACTAGGCGCCTGGTAGCTCACTAATTATTTACAATTATCTCTTGAACCCTTGCAGTATCTTGTACACGACTTAGCAACAACAGCTCTATTGGACACTTACCAAGAACCTCTGATGAGCACTTTATCTGTTTTACCTCAGTGAACTCTCTCGGTCACCCGCACACCTCCCCTCCAGTGCCACCTCACGAGGTAGGTGCTACCAGTGAGGCCGAGAGATTGAGAGATGGGGGTTTTGTGTGGTGACATAGGGAACATGGAGAAAAACGAAGAGGTCCATGACTTTCAGCAGAAGATGACATTGAAAGGGGTCTTCGAGGGTCATTGGATTCAAAGACCCATCTATCCCTGAAGTTCAGGGCCAACTTTTCAAGCAAGAAATCTAAAAGACTTCAGCTTCCTCACGAAGTCTTCCAGAGTGCGGGTAACTCATGGACGAGCTGCCCTTGACAATGCATCCCATATTTCAGGACCCACCTATACCGTGTTTATTATTCAAAAGTATTTCCTCTTTTTGGCTGGCGGG